GCTGCATGAGCTGCTTGTAAATTTTGGAGATTAATCCCTTGTCAGTTGCTTCACTTGCAAATATTTTCTCCCATTCTGAGGGTTGTCTTTTTGTCTTGTTTTTGGTTTCCTTTGCTGTGCAAAAGCTTTTAAGTTTCATTAGGTCCCATTTGTTTATTTTTGTTTTTAATTCCATTTTTCTAGGTGGTGGGTCAAAAAGGATCTTGCTGTGATTTATGTCATAGAGTGTTCTGCCTATGTTTTCCTCTAAAGGTTTTATAGTGTCTGGCCTTACATTTAGGTCTTTAATCCATTTTGAGTTTATTTTTGTGTAAGGTGTTAGGAAGTGTTCTAATTTCATTCTTTTTTTTGCGGTACGCGGGCCTCTAACTATTGTGGCCTCTCCCGTTGTGGAGCACAGACTCCGGACGCGCAGGCTCAGCAGCCATGGCTCACGGGCCCAGCCGCTCCGTGGCATGTGGGATCTTCCTGGACCGGGGCACGAACTTGCATCAGCAGGTTCCCTGCATTGGCAGGTGGACTCTCAACCACTGCACCACCAGGGAAGCCCCAGAATCCCCATTTTATACAAAGTAAAATTCAAGGTTGTTTAGCTAGACATTTGATGTCCTTCATACTCACTTCACCAAAATAATTTAATTATTATTCCCAAAGCTCACCTTATACTTTCCTACCATTGTGCATTCCTTCATGACATTCCTCTGCTGTAAGTTCCTTTCCCCCTAGTTTCTATTGCCCTTCAGTCATTGTATTCTTAAATATTTGTCAAGGGGTCTGATATCTGCTAGGCACTGTACTGTGGGCTAGGACTAGAGTAGCTTTCTTATTGAGCTTACACTTGTGAGAGAGGAGATATTAAGGACAGTAATACTTCTTTACTTGCAACAGATAGTGTCATGAAAAAGTAGAGTGTTCTGAAAACAAATAGGACACCTAATCTAGTTGAGATTGAAGGGGTTGTTTCAAAGATGACCACTTGGAGAAAATGTCACTTAAGCTGAGATCTTATTGATGAATAGGCATTAGCTTAATGAAGGAATGGGCTAAGGGAATAGTCTGTGCAAATGTACTGAGGTGGGAAGGATCTTGGCTCAGGTATGTTAATTCATTCATATGTTTATTTTGCTGTGAAGAAATTTAAGTTTTTTGTTGTTTCTCAATAATAATGTATTGGTCTATGCTACTTTACTTTAAAAAATAAATATCTCAATCATATGTTTATTCTATGATATATAATATAGATATATAGTTCAAAAAATACCAAATTTATCATGTAGCTCTTACTCAGTGAATTTTTTTACTTTTAAAGATACTCTTAAAAAATATCACTGTAAATAGTCAAATAATAGATCCAGGTTTTAAAACTATCCAGGGAATTCATCTAGAAGTCCTATTTCTATGTAGAAATTTATATAGATTTGTGATATATGCATATGTAATATTTATACTACATATCTATATTATATATCATAGAATAAACATATGATTGAGATATTTATTTATTTATATACAAATCCCCTAGATAACATTTTGGTTTCTCATTATTTCTTGTAGGCACCAGTCAAAAAGTTAGTCAGTAGGAGGGCCTATTAGGTTCTAGGCAGCCTACTCTGCTATTTACTTTTCTGTCCATTCCCTGATCTGGTTTATGGTTGGCTCTTTGATATCGATGAAAAGGATACACCAAAGATGCATTTAAATTGTTCTTTTGTTTTCAAATAAACAGAAATACCTGATTTTTGGTAATTCTATAAATATTTTCATTTTTCAAATATATAGTTGTCTATATAAAGAGTGATGTAACAGCTAAGGTTTTTGTTTAAACATCTTTATTGGAGTATAATTGCTTTACAGTGGTTTGTTACTTTCTGCTTTATAACAAAGTGAATCAGTTATACATATACATATGTTCCCATATCTCTTCCCTCTTGCACCTCCCTCTCTCCCACCCTCCCTATCCCACCCCTCTAGGTGGTCACAAAGCACCGAGCCGATCTCCCAGTGCCATGCGGCTGCTTCCCACTAGCTATTTTATGTTTGGTAGTGTATATATGTCCATGCCACTCTCTCACTTTGTCACAACAGCTAAGGTTTTTGGATACACGCAGAGAAACCAATTCTGGCTAGCTTCAGCAGGAAAGGAATTTAATTGGTAGTTGAAGAAGACACAGGAAGACTGAAGAATCAGACTTGGAAAATATACAAAACCTAAGGGTGCTAGGTGGCAGGAAGGACTATAGCCAAAGTCATGCTACGGGAACGTGTTAGGAAGCCTCTACTATCAGACTTACACTGTTACTACTGCCACTTTAAATATTTCTTACTGATAGCATCTTTGTGGTGCTAGCTGGACTTCAAAGTCTAGGGTAGGAGTGGTCTGGCTGAGATCTTGTTCTGGCTGCCAGGGAGGAACTTCTTCCTTTGGCTTCTACCTTTTGGCTTCCCACCAAATCTCACATAATAAGAAATTTTCCCTGAGTAAGAAAGGAGTTTGAGCCTAGGAAGACCCTTTAAAAAGAGATAGCTGTCCTTCACAACTACTCATTAAAATATATTTCAAAACAATTCTGTGTGATGACAGGTAGCTGTATGCCTCTTGAAATACAAGGTAAAATTGTTCAAGGCATCTCACATTTCTTGAAAACATATAATTATTTCTGTTTTAAGAAGGGTTGTGGTAGTTTATTAGAGAAAAATTATTTTCTTTTCAAAGTGAAGCTATCATAGATATCTCTAAATTTTATAGTACAGGCATGACTAAAATAGATTAGATATGTATTTTTCTAAGAAAAAGAATCACAGAAAGTAAAGGTGATTGCCAGATATGCACGTATATTTATTTCAACATTTTTCTTTGGTAGAAAAAAGCATTTCATATATAAAATGTGTTCAAAACATTAGTATAATTTATAACAGTAGATAAAACCAAACTTCACGGTAAACACATACATTCTAATTGCTTCAAAATATCTCAATGAAAAAAAAGGGTGTTAAAAAAAATCAAAGGCTTCCCTGGTGGAGCAGTGGTTAAGGATCTGCCTGCCAATTCAGGGGACACGGGTTCGAGCCCTGGTCCGGGAAGATCCCACATGCCACGGAGCAACTAAGCCCGTGCGCCACAACTACTGAGCCTGTGCTCTAGAGCCTACGAGCCACAACTACTGAAGCCCACATGCCGCAACTACTGAAGCCCATGCGCCTAGAGCCCATGCTCCGCAACAAGCGAAGTCACCACAATGAGAAGCCCGTGCACCGCAACGAAGAGTAGCCCCTGCTCGCCGCAACTAGAGAAAGCCCGCGCGCAGCAACGAAGACCCAATGCAGCCAAAAATAAATAAATTAAATGAATAAAAAAAAAATCAAATCAAGACCAGAGCTACTAATTCTGTTATGAAATATTTGCACTCTTACCAGTTACCCTTAGCTTATAATTGTCTTCATAGTACATTTCATGAATTATAGCCTTTTTTATAAAACAAGATGGCGTTTAAGGACTTTTTCCAATTTTTAGGAAAAGGAATGTGGATTTGCATAAAAAAATACTTAGGGAATGTTCATGGATGCTTTTGACTTATGAGTCATGGTCTTGATTTCAGCAATAATACATATTGTAATATAAAATATAGGTCAAATACAGACAGATAACTTTTAGAGACAGAAATGTTTTCATAGCCACAGCAGAATAGTTACAAGCATCGAATCTCCTAGAAAGTTTCCTAACCTAGAAATGCATGAATGTTCATTACAACAGGCAGGAGAAAGTCAGTTTCCTATTGCAGAATTCTTATCATGTCAGTAGTCAGTTACACTTGTTCTACGTTTTCAAATCCTCCTTTCCAGGACTTCATACTTTTTGATATTTTAAAAAATTCCTTCTTTCAGCTTTCTGTAATGAGAAGATGAGAGTTTTACCACCTTGGGCTGTTCTTGTTTCCCAGTGATTTAGGAGTTGACATGCAAAAACATACAGCTAATTATAACCAGAGACCCCTTATCAAAACATTTACACAGGATCATAGCAGAACAATTCTGCAGTTGTCAATTTTATTTTTTCAAAAGATTTGTCTTGGATAAAACAGATTATAAAATGGAAGTAATCTGGCAACCTACCTTGATTATAACTTTTGCTTGCTTTGACTTGGTATTTAGGCATCTTTGTCCTTTATGTGTTTTCAGGGTGATACTGTTAAGGGAAGATCCAAAACAGTCTTAAATTTTGGATGGAAAAACATAAGAAAAACAAAGCAAAAAAAGCCACCACCATTGTTATCTTCAGTGAGTCCATTACTTACATCACTTCTGTTTTGTCACAGCTGTTACTTGGGTAAATTATGGAGACTTTCTCAATATCTGCCACTTTCACTGCTTTTACTCCAGGGTGTGTGCAAAGACACCGTCCCCCTTTGAACATGGGGAAGCCTAGAACAGATCATAGCATCAGTTACTAATAAGTCTGATTGCAATCATATAGCTACGATTTATGTTATAACCTTGATTGAAGAATGTGGACCAGGTTTTCATTAAGGCTAAAGATAGTAATTTGTCAAATAGCACTCAACACTGCTGTTACTGGGAAAGGAGCTTCAGTAAGAAGTTGATGATCTTCTCTTTAAATTTGTAAGCAAACCATTAAAGAATAAGGGGAAGAATGAAAGACGTTTATTGGAGATCAAGCTTATTTGCCTCTTGCTTTTATGCTCAAGAATTTTTCCAGAAAGCTAATAACATTATCTCATATAAAATCTTCTTAGCAGACATTTAAAACTGTTGCTAAAGGCTCTTGCCAGATTTTGCAGCCAAATAAGAAATTCTATTAAAAATGTATCATCTCTAGTTTAAATAATCATCTCTAGTATTTTAAACATTTCCAATATCCTCTGCCAAACCTATAGTAACTTCTAATCTGTGAGGTTAAATAAAAATTTACTGTATCTTTTAGGATAAAAGTGGAAGAAAAGACATTTGAAGCATTAGAAAGGAAATTTATAGGTTGAGAAGTTAAAAAGTACCATATACCTTGAACAATTGTAGCACAGAATATCACAGCCAGGACTGTAGCCATGCCCTTCATATTCATGTTTGTCTGTTGCTGCTGCTTTGGCTTTGATACTCTTCTTGGAGGGAGTAGAAATGCTGATCATGGAAGAGAAGTCTTAATTGGCGTATATAAGGCATTTTATACACCAGCAATAGGAATTTCCCTCCTTGAGTCATGTTCCTTTTTCCCAATAGTTTCTATTTTGTCCTCATCTAAATATTACTGTCCCTTCCTTTTGTTACAGGGTTGAAAGTAATACGAATGTGAAAGCACTTTGTAGATAGTAGATAGTAAAGTGCTGTGTAAATATAGAATAGAGTACACCCACATGGGAACCAGCCTTAAGGTAGCATTTCCTAGAAATGTATTTAATTATTGGACTACCCTGGGCAGTGAAATTCTGATTGCCATTCATTCTTCCATTCAGGAATATTGTCTTCCTATATTCAGTCCTTTCACTCTCCATCCTTCACATAACTATATAAAAGAACATTCTTTTAAAAAATTATAAATTTTTGGACCTCCCTGGTGGCACAGTGATTAAGAATCTGCCTGCCAATGCAGGGGACATGGGTTCGATTCCTGGTCCAGGAAGACCCCACATGCTGCGGAGCAGCTAAGCCCATACTTGACAACTACTGAGTCCATGCTCTAGAGCCCACGAACCACAACTACTGAGCCTGTGCGCCACAACTACTGAAGGCTGCATGCCCTAGAGCCCATGCTCCGCAACAAGAGAAGCCACGCAATGAGAAGCCCGTGCACTGCAACGAAGAGTAACCCCCGCTCACTGCAACTAGAGAAAACCTGAGTGATGCAATGAAGACCCAACACAGCCAAAAAAATAAATAACTAAAGTAAAAATATATATATACTTTTTCTTTTGCTTTTAAGTCCAAACTCTTATATGTAAGGCCTATTTTATTTGACATCAAACGACCTTTTATTTCACCTTATTTATATTTTGCTGACTATAATTGCATGTCTGAAGAAGTCTCCTAAACAGCTGTACTTCTGAATTTATATACATTTCTTTTTGCATGTTTAGCAATTTTTACATGTATATATACGTCTCAAGCACTGTTATTTAGTACATAAAGCTGTATGAGTTGTGGATTTTTAAAAAATGATTGTCTTTTCTAATGTGATGTTTTTATTTCTTGGATTCTACTTCCACGTAACCCATTTTCTTTTTCTTTTTACCTTTCCCTCTTAAGCTTTCTAAATCTGTTTATTTTAAATATGTCACTTGCAAATACTTAAAAAGTCATATCAAAGGGAACTTTTTTTTTTTGCGGTACGCGGGCCTCTCACTGCTGTGGCCTCTCCCGTTGTGGAGCACAGGCTCCGGACGCGCAGGCTCAGCGGCCATGGCTCACGGGCCCAGTCGCTCCGCGGCATGTGGGATCTTCCCGGACCGGGGCACGAACCCGTGTCCCCTGCATCGGCAGGCGGACTCTCAACCACTGCGCCACCAGGGAAGCCCCAAAGGGAACTTTTAATAGGTGAATTTAATTATTTTCCGTGTAATTGGTAATCTGTAAGCTTTTTAAAATGTTTCCTTCATATATCTTTTCTGTATTAGTTTTCTTTGATTTCTTTCTAACTTTAAATATATTTTCTTTAACATTTTCTTATGTGATTTGAACACAATACATTGTTTTGTGTTTTGCTAGTAATCTTAGAAAAAGTCAGGTTAAAAATTTGCATCAACCATAAATAGAATCTTCTGGTTCCTCCCTTTGTAAGATGAGAAGAATCACTGTAACTTTCTTGCAAACATTTCTTCCTATTTCCTAGTTTTGTTGGTATAATCTGGGGTTCATAGCTAGTTTACTATTTTCAGATGATTATTTCACATTGCTCAACATCTTTTTTGAGAATTATGATTACATTTTATTCTGAAATCATATATTTATTTAGACATATCCTACATTTAAATTATTTTATCAAAGACTACAAGTCTTTAAAACCTCTTTGTCTTTCTTTTAATTAATCTCAAAGTAGCTGGATATTATTTCTCTTTCTCATTCATTCATTCATTTAACATATATGATTCAAGGCAGATTTTCTCACAGGAAAACTGGTAAAGTATCAATAAAAGGAATATGTTCTTGGATTTCATAAATCCTTATCCATTATTTTTTCTTCACTTCAAGTTCTCAGGTAATCTGTAGATCCAAAATTATGCAGAGTTGGGACAGGAGGTGGTTTTGTGCTTCAACCTTTTTACTTCTTTATTTGAAACATACAAAAAGTAAGCCTAATTAGGCTCTGGCAGGTGCTAATATGGATGCTCTCTCTTTCCTTAACACTCTCTCCCTCTTTACTGCCTCTTCCTCCCAGAGTCCCTGCCTTAACGTTGACTGGAAGGCACCACCCCATTCTACGGTAGTTCATTGCTCATTCATTCATAGAACAAAAATTTATTTTAGGTGTCTATTACATGCCTGGCACTCTTTTGAGATCTGAAAATAGAGCAGTGAAAAAATCAACCAAGTTCATTTTTGTGTCTTTCAAGTTTTACAGTGTTCTATTGTAGAAGGCAGTCTGCCTAATTTCTACTGGTTCTGTAGATGTGTGTCTTGAAGAATATGACTTCTTCTGACCTAAATACTTTCTATTATCACATGAGGAGGATTAATTTCTATTCATATGTTATGGTTCCTTTAGCACTTTCCTCAGCTTTCCTGTATCCTTTCCTTCTTTTAAGTTTTGATATCTTCATAAAGTTTTCTTCAATACATAGTGATTTCTTCTCCTGGTTTTAGAGCACTTACTGTCTTGTCTAGCTTTATCCAGAAGAAATATAATGGCCACCTACTAAATTTTAAATATTCTAGTATACACATTTTTTTTTTTTTTTTTTTTGCCGTACGCGGGTCTGTCACTGTTGTGGCCTCTCCCGTTGCGGAGCACAGGCTCCGGACACGCAGGCTCAGCGGCCATGGCTCACGGGCATAGCCGCTCCGCGGCATGTGGGATCTTGCCGGACCAGGGCATGAACCCGTGTCCCCTGCATCGGCAGGCGGACTCTCAACCACTGCGCCACCAGGGAAGCCCTAGTAGCCACATTTTTAAACGTTTTTTATTTTTATTGTTTTGACCATGCTGCGCGGCTTGTGGGATCCTTGTTCTCCAACCAGATATCAAACCCTTGCTCCCTGCAGTGGGAGTGCGGAGTCCTAACCACTGGACCACCAGGGAATTACCTCCAGTAGCCACATTTAAAAAGTAAAAAGAAACAGGTAAAATTAATTTTAATAATATATTTTATGAAACATGAAAAAGTTATTTCAAAGTGTAATCATTATAAAAACATTAAGAGATTTTAATTTTTTTAGTACTACACCTTCAAATTAGACTAGCCGATAGACTAGAGTCTCTCATACAGAGTGAAGTAAGTCAGAAAGAGAAAGACAAATACCATATGCTAACACATATATATGGAATTTAAGGAAAAAAAAATGTCATGAAGAACCTAGGGGTAAGACAGGAATAAAGACACAGACCTACTGGAGAACGGACTTGAGGATATGGGGAGGGGGAAGGGTGAGCTGTGACAGGACGAGAGAGAGGCATGGACATATATACACTACCAAACGTAAGGTAGATAGCTAGTGGGAAGCAGCCGCATGGCACAGGGATATCGGCTTGGTGCTTTGTGACCGCCTGGAGGGGTGGGATAGGGAGGGTGGGAGGGAGGGAGACGCAAGAGGGAAGAGATATGGGAACATATGTATATGTATAACTGATTCACTTTGTTATAAAGCAGAAACTAACACACCATTGTAAAGCAAATATACCCCAATAAAGATGTTAAAAAATAAATTAGACTAGCCACATTTCAGATGCTTAGTAGCCACATGTGTTTAGAGATGACCATATTGGACAGTACATGTGTAGTTATTCATTTAGCATATTCTACTACCTTGATACTAAATTTTAAATAAAGATGGGTATGGAAAGAAGGAGAGATACTGTGCTTTTTTTTTTTTTGGTTTGTTTTAGAAACTTTTCTAAATCTTTCTAGTCCTTTTGTTCTTTCTTCACTAAGTCATTATCTCATTGCTCTTTCTTTTTGATTAAGTGGGACAAAGATTAAACTGTATTCTCTCTCTTTTTTGTAGTGTTTGCCATCTTTTGGTTGTTCCTGGAATTGGACTATTCTAAGTTCATCCACTCAAACAAGTTTCCCCTTGAATTTAAAGGAGAATCCCAGGAAACGAATGTAGTTTTTATAATTAATCACCAAAACCCTTTCCAGCTTAACATTTCTATAATCTGTGATTTCATATGAAGTTTTAGTTATGATCCCCAATTATGCAATTAATGTAGAATTTTAAAATGTTTTCAAGCGGGAAGAGATTAGTGCAAGGCATTTAAAGATAATTCCCGACCCACCATTCACTAAGTTTTTAAATAATATATTGCTTGCAGAGAAAAGTAGTTGAGACTATTTTGCCAGTTAAATTAGTGAAAAATGGGTTAGGAATGGAACAGTTCCCATTTATTATAAATCAGTATAATATAACAGAACCCTGTTGTTCTGAGCTTATCACTCCTAGGGAAGAGGTTGCCACACATGTGATAGGCACCTAAAATAATGAATAGATGGAACAGATTGACACAGAGTTCTTAACTCTTATAGTAGTACAAAACCTGAATGCTCTTTTATAAAGGGATTAAGGCATATAAGGAGCTGCTAGTGGATTTTTTCAGAAACCCTTAGTGGAATACTACTTCTGTGATTTTCTTATAACATTATTAAAATACTTTTCCCAGAAATCAGATAGATCCTACAGACTGTATTCAAGGCAGTTATTAGGCACTGGGCAAGGCTGTATTTTTTCCAAAAAAAATTTTGGGAAAAAATTGTATAAACAATAAAAAAAATCATTAAGGCACTATGGAATAGTGCATATTTTATTGCTGTTTGAAATCATTCCACAGAGACAGTGAATTTTGAATAAGGATGTTTCTGAGCCTGTACTTAATCTCTTTCTGGGACTTTGACATAAGAAGACATTTTCAAAAGCTGTACCCCGATAATGTAATCTGGTATTTGAGAATGAGATG